GTCACCTGCCTCGCCACAGTCGACCGCAAACTCTCCCAATTTTTCGGAGACACCATTCGGCGAAGACATAAGAGGACTGAAGAGAGAGGGAAACAAACGTCTGGCTGCGGAGCTTGTCACCCCACCCCGCAAAACAGGGTCGTGCATCTCCCCCAGCTGGCGGGCATGACATGTAATCGGCATTCGAGCGGGTCTCCCTCCACTTGATGTCATGCCACCTTTTCCTCACGGAGCGGTATGCCACCCGCCAGCCGCGGGACGCCATGATGGAGGACCCCGCGGGAAAGTGGGAGACCAGCCTGGTACGGGGCGAGGTCACCGAGGTGGCGTACTTCCTACGGTTGCGAGCCTAGTGAGCCACCATAGACCGCAATGTCGGAAAGTTGAAGTTCCACTAGGTGTCCGGCCCATTGGCCTACCAGCACCGACTAAGGAGAGAGCGAGCCGCCTCCCCCCCCTCTCAGTCGAACGCCGGCCGCCCTAGGGCGGACTCAGCCCGCCACCCATACACCGTCGCCCCACACCAAACCCGCGACCGACGACCTCACTTCCCTCACCGAGCCGGCCTCCGGTCTGTCGACTAGCCTTAGTCCATTAGTCACGCCCTTCTTTCGTACAGCATTGGACCAAGACCAGACAAATACGTCATCCGCCCTAGGACCTTCCCACGGTTTCCTGGACACTTCAAGGGTGGGCCCCGTTGCAAACTCTGGGCGCGTATAACAACAACCTCAATTATTTGCGGACACAAGTTGGGTTGGACGAGAAAGGCAGGGATAAACTGGGACACACTCGCCTCTCCGAGTGTCCACAACAGAAAGTGTCACACCGACGTTTATTACTCCGACAAACGTGACGTGTAAAAGAAGTTTTACCCAACGTCCGAGTCACCGTCGCGGACCTCTAAATAAACCCGGTACGACACTCATCGAACACCCAAATTATCCTCCCACGAGTTTGTAATTCCAAAGGGAATTACAATGGCCTCACCCAAAAGAATTGACGTTTGTTAGGGGGGTACACTATGTGGTACAATGGAGCTTTGCGATGTTACTTTTCCGGACTATTAGTACGAGTGCGTTTAGGTCCACATTCGTCCCGGAGAGTGCCCTATTATCTGATAAGGAATATCATCCACACACCTGGGTTGTATCCACCCAGCGCTCACGGTACGAGAGGGACCCTCTAATAAAAAATTCCTACTTCAATTTTTCGAAGGTTAAGACCCGGAAACTCTCGTTTGTACTTCTCCTAGATACCTATGTAGAGAGTTGTGGGCAACTTTGTCTTTGACATGTTGTCTAAATGACTAAGAGACATCCCTGACGAAAATGTTTACTGGGAAACAATAAGAAAAAAATCGACAAGTATATTCGATAAATTTGGACAAGACAGTATAATGAAGAGAACAAAAAAAAGATTGATAATTACATTTGTTATATTTGGACGACGGAGTTAAAGTTATTAGCACTAGGTTTTGCACACCGCTGGTCGCTCAAGGATAGTCTTAATGTGTACAGATTGAGTAGTTTGTGAGTCAGGAAATCACGTAACCGTCGGCAGGAGGAGTATCAGACCTGTCTCCTCTCCTGAGACTGTATGGTGGATACAGGACAACCTTTTACGTAGTTTGTATATAATGGCGAAAATCGTGTCATTTCCACGACGTTTGATAATATTTAACATATTTTTCCAGTCAATCCTCGTAGGAACTTGTATGGTGAGTTTATATGTTCCAGTTTACCTATGGCCTAGTTCGGTCATTCAGGGACAGCAGCACAAACCAATTTTGGGACGATTAGATAGTTGGACGACTAGGTTTACAAATAAATCTAAACGACGGCTCACACTGCAGTCTTACCGTGGGTCACGATCCACGGGTATGAGTCGTCTTAAACGATAGTCAGTGTTTACGGTCCACAAACTCTGCATTACAGTAGGAACCAAAGGAAGCGACCGCAGTGGAATTGTGACGCGATGCGACTCGCACAATTTGCTTATGTCTACCTCAGATTTTTCGTGGATTCGTGTCACATGTCCTCTTGAGGGGGACACTGATTTTGTGGAGGGTATTCGTCTCGTCAAATGTCAAGTTTGTAAAGTCACGATAAACTACATCCAAATCTTTCCGTACCGCACAACGATGAGTGTGTCTTAAATTAATAGAAACGCAGTATTTTTAGTAGAGTTGACTAGTTCGTTAAAACGTAAGACAAAGTTGCGATCCCTAGGGTTTATTAGCACGCAACGAAATCTGTCCCGACATTTTCCTCATCAACACTACTCGTCCAACTCGTTACCCGCATGATTACCCGCACGTGATGACAAAACCTTGACGTGTTCAATGGGCTGTTATCACTGAGACGAAAATGCCATTTACCGGGTAGAGTTAGTACTAAATCAAGTCACTTAGGAGTATATCCGTCAACAACGCGGATGAGAGACAGAGCGATACACGCTTACGTGTGGGTTTTACGAAGTCGAAGGTTGGATAGCGTCTACTCGGGACTCGAACCCTCTTTATTTCCGCACTTCGGTCGATGCAGTAGATCCTAATCGAAGTCTAGTGAAGTGTGTCTAAGTACGTGTTAATACTCAGAAGAAACGCAGTCTATGATCAAGAGACAGAGACGGAGCGGCGATAAAAGACCAGTCTACCATGGATAGGAAGACTGCGACATGCGGAGAGAGTACTCGTCGCAACAGTCAGTAGTTACTTATTACCAACTCACTTAGCTGTGAACCAATCCTCTAACAACATTAGGTGCCTAGTCTGACAGGTACCGACAAGTGAGCATAGGAACGTCAGACTCACTCATTTGTTATCTCCCACGCGCAACGACTAACAATCCAGTTCGCCCCTGTGAGAATACGGCTTGCCTTTTCGTCAAGTCGGAACAGTTCCAACTCGAATCACACTATCGTCTGAGGTGACTCTCTACACGACGATCCGACCGTCTCCTAGCGCGTCTGCTGGACGCAACGCGATCCTGTCTTATCAAAACCCACAGGACAGTCGCATCCGTGCGCCATAGAGGGCTTTTTGGTACGCCCGATTTACTATCTGGTGGGCTCACCTTCAAACACATGTCTCCTCTTCTCCTCGCCCTGTGTTCTTGTCTCGAGACTGCGCTAGGGACATAAATACACACTGTTTTCCCAGCAATGCGAGTCGTCTCCCTGGCCGCAGTAATATTAAATCAGTCTCAAGCCCACATGCGGATGAGTCATACCCACAATTTTTCCAATATGTACTAAGACATCTATTGAACCTATATCTCTTGCTATTATTTATGTCTAACCAATTTTTCATAATTAAACTACATGACTTTGGAAAAATTATTTTAGACAATAAATCAAAAGTGACTTGAAAAGGATGATTTTTACCTCCTTAGTAGAAAGAACATTATTTCTTAAGTCGAATAAAACTTGTTTGTAAAGATTATTTTCAAGAACAAGATTAAACCAACTTATGGAAGACAGATGTCTTTGTCTCCATTATTCTTAAAAGAAACAAATTGTAATAAACAAAATTTTTTTTAAGACTTAATTCTAGGTCATTATTTAGACGACTCTAAGAATTTTCTTTTAACTAAGTACAAATTTGTACGTATAAGAGACAGCACGAGTGCGATTGGGTTTTCGGGGAGAAGGGAGAGTCGTGTGGTGTTGAGGCAGACGAGGATATTACAGTACACGGTCAATAAGAGCCGACTGTGTTTTTACTATAAGAGGTGTCTTTGATTATGGTGAGGGGGTGTCATGAGTCAGCATAACAAAACATAGGAGGAAGTGAGATGTATAATGTTGGGTTTACTGGAAGTGGTGTTCGAGGAAGCACCCTTTCGGGTCAGGTCGGTCAGGGGACTGGTCAGCTCCGAAAAGGACGGGATGAACCGCCTGTAGTAGCCGGCCAGCCCCATGAACCTTCTGACCTCTTTTTTCGTTTTGGGCGCCAGACAGGCTGAAATGGCGGTTCTCTATCTGTGGCCACACCTGCCCGCCGCCCAAGTGGTACCCCAGATACCGTACCTCCCTCCGTCCAACCGCACACTTCTTCTGGTTGGCCGTGAGCCCCGCCTGCCTCAGGGACTCGAGCACCGCCCCCACCTGCTGCATATGCTGCTCCCATGTCTCACTGTGAATGATGACATCATCCAAGTAAGCAGCAGCATATGCAGAGTGGGGACGCAGCACCCGGTCCATGAGCCGCTGGAAGGTGGCTGGAGCTCCGAACAACCCGAAAGGAAGTGTGATGAATTGGTATAAACCATACGGAGTGGAGAAGGCCGTTTTTTCCTTAGACTCTGGAGAAAGGGGAATCTGCCAATAGCCTTTGGTTAAATCCAGCGTCGTGTAAAAGCGAGCAGTGCCTAGCCGATCCAGGAGTTCGTCGACCCGGGGCATTGGATAAGCATCAAATTTGGACACCTCGTTCACCCTGCGGTAGTCCACACAGAACCGTATTAACCCGTCGGACTTACGTACCAGCACGACGGGGCAACACCAGTCACTGGTGGACTCTTCTATCACTCCCATCTCTAGCATAGCCTGAAGCTCCGCCTGAACAATTTTCCTCCTGTGTTCAGGCAGCCGATAGGGCCGTGAACGAATGGCCACGCCCGGGGGCGTTTCTATGCGGTGGTGTATGAGAGAGGTGCGCCCTGACAGCGTAGAGAACACGTCGGCAAACTGCCTTTGCAACGAAGCAACGTCTGCTCTCTGGCCCGGTGAGAGATTGTCGCCACAACCGACCGGGGCTAATTTGTTGCTTTTAATGACCTCCGGTCCCAACTCATCTCTCTCAATCACCGTGGTGGCCAGAGAAACAGACGCCACATGCTTTCAGGAGGTTAAGGTGGTAAATCTGTGTCGCTCCCCCCCTGTCAGAACGCACCACCTCATAATCTACGTCCCCCACTCGTCGTGTGACCACGAAGGGTCCTTGCCACTTGGCGAGTAGTTTAGAGCTAGAGGATGGGAGTAATACAAGCACTTTATCTCCCGGTGAAAATTGTCTCAGTTTCGACCCTCTGTTGTACAGGCGCTGCTGACGTTCCTGAGCCTGGAGCAAATTCTCCCGTGATATCTGCCCCAGTGAGTGGAGTTTTGCTCGCAGGTCCATAACGTACTGTATTTTGTTCTTACTGGTGCTTGGACCCTCCTCCCAGTTTTCCTTAACTAGGTCCAAAACACCCCGGGGCTTCCTACCAAATAACAGCTCAAAGGGAGAAAATCCCGTGGAGGACTGGGGCACCTCCCGCACTGCAAACAACAGAGGATCTAGCCATTTATCCCAATTACGGCTATCTTCGTGAACGAACTTACGAACCATGTTCTTTAGTGTTTTGTTAAACCGTTCCACCAGGCCGTCGGTCTGCGGATGGTAAACACTAGTCCGTATTGAATGGACGTCCAATAGTTCATACAGCTCGCGTAGTGTGCGTGACATAAACTGTGTGCCCTGGTCAGTCAGGATCTCTTTCGGGATCCCGACTCGGGAGATAATGTGAAAAAGTGCCTGCGCGACGCTCTTTGCAGAGATATTACGCAGCGGCACTGCCTCGGGATATCGCGTTGCATAATCCACTAGGACTAGTACAAAGCGATATCCCCGTGCACTCCGGTCTAATGGCCCGATGAGGTCCATACCAACTCTCTCAAAAGGCACCTCAATCAATGGTAACGGGCGCAAAGCGCAAAGGCGCTCTGGGGGATGGCCGGCGGGTTAACCAGCTGACATTCACGGCAAGATGCACACCACCGCTTCACATCTGCCGCGAATGCCCGGCGCAATAAAATCGGGCCATTATCCGGTGTGTAGTGATTTGTCGTACCCTAGGTCGTGACCTGACATGGGGCCGTGTATAATGAGCCGCCAACTGTTTCCCGACGGCTTTTTGCACCAACAACTGTTATTTATCCATTCTTTGTCTGTTGTGTCACGACGATCAGCCTTTACACGTAAAGGTGCGGTGAGTGAGTGCAGCTCTGTGTCCCTAACCACGTAGTAGCGAGTGTGCGTGAGTGAGTGCTGCTTTTGCAGTTGTGTAGCAGGAGCCATCATACTCAACGATGCTCGGCAGAATAGAGCAGTGCTTAAGAAAGAAGACGGAATGTCCTCGACTCCCTCGACTGCTGTGTCGATTACGGAAATACAATCTTCCACGGGAACTTCATTAACCAGCGGTTCCGAGAGGGCCTGAACCAGCAGGCACGTGCTCCGTAGTCCGTTTGCCCCTCGATGTCGTCAGCCTGCCTCGTCCGACTCGTACCACTCAAAACCTACAGCACACATCCTTGACCTATTTCCCTGACCGTCGTGAACGCACCTCGTAGAGTAGCGGTCGACTTAATTCTAAGCGGAAGGAACGCCGGCTAATGCGTTGCCGAAAATCAGTGTGCACTGACTGGCGTTAAATGGCGAGAGTTGAAATCCAGCTGCTGTAGCCCAGCTACGTGTCGGCACTTTTGATACACCTGGTGTAAGAAAGGATACATATCATCCAGGCGTCATGGTTCCTCGTCTTCGCCAGCTGTTCACCTCAATTCCATCCACGATGGTTCAATCAATGCCCCAGAGGGTACGCTGTAAAGTGAAAGCTACCCTGAGCCATCACACTCACTTCACCGACCTGTGAGTTCAAATTCCGTAGTCGCGGACATGCATCAGACATAGAGCATCAACTGATAGAAGTATAAACAATCAGCCCTTTGTATTCTTGTGCAATCTAGACGAGTCCACGGATGTCTCGAATGGTGCACTGCTGCTTGTTTTTGTTCTACTATCGCTGGGACAAAGTATTACACGAATAGATACTGACTTGCTGGATGGGCTCACCAACTGGCACCGAACTAACGTTTGCATCAGGAAATGTTCCGCGTCGATGGATACACTGACTCCCAGCTGTCCGCCGCCTGGTATCTAAGGCAGAACTGTGTTGGTGACTGCCGTGAGACGGAGGCAGCATCAATGGACTGCGTCAGCGCATCATGGAGTGTCTTAGGACCTGATCCTTTGATCAGCCGGAACTGAGACATCCAAATGGGCCGCACTGTGATTTCTCACCAGCCGTCGAGAGGCTTGGCAGTCAAACAAAAGACTGTCAGCACCATCTCACATGTGATGGATGTAGCCTCTGTGAACAGAACAATGGAACTTTCATTAAAAAACAAATGCTATGAAACTCCGAGATGTTTTGCTAAGGCTTTGTGTAGACATAGAAGCTGACAGATCATATGTTCAGGCTGCTATAGGCCACAGTGAGCGAGCAGATTGGCATTCCCAGAGGACTGGTCGGCTGCAAATCGTCTGTTTGAAGCTGAGATGACAACGTGACGTCTTACGCACTGTGTTGCAGTGAGAAAAGAATCTGAATCTGTGTATATTAGCTAACTGCAGAACAGCACAATATGTTCACAGCAAAACCTTGTCGCTATCTATCTGTCATTTTCTCACTACTGACAGACAGGAACACTCACTTCAAGGAA